CCCTCCTAGTCCTTTTTATTTCATATTTGAGACAGCATCTCTCTATATTGCCCACTCTGGGCTTGAACTTGCAATCGTCCTGCCTCAGCCTCCTGAGTAGCTGGGATTACAGGTGTACCACCATGCCTAGTTCACATTTCTAGCACCTATGCTTTGGTCTATGATTCATTTTAAGTTTTTCCTTCTTTATTCCTCTCTTCCCCTCCTTTCCTCCTTCATTCCTTCCTCATTTTGTTTCTTCTTTCCTATCCTTTTTCCAGAGGTCAAACTCAGAGCCTCACAGTATTAAGAAAGCTTCCTACCATTAGGCTACATCCTCAGCTCTTGAGTTGGTTTTTATATATAGCATAAGGCAAGAATTCAACTTCAGCCTTTTACATGTGGAGATCCACTTTTCCCAGCACCATTTGTTGACAAAGCTTTTATTTCCAAATTGAATTTTTATTTATTTATTTATTTGTGTGTGTGTGTGTGTGTGTGTGTGTGGCCAGCTCAGCCCACCAGGGGGTGGGGCTGGCTGGCATGTGGTGCTGGGGGATTGAACCACGGTCCCTGTGCCTTGCCAAGCTTGTTCTAAGTAGGTGCTTTAGACCACTGAGCCATCTCACCAGCCCTATTTCCAAATTGGATGAATGGTCTTGTCTCTTGTCAAAAAACATCTGGGTCCAGGTATGGTACCACATGCTTGTAATCCTAGCACTTGGGAAACTGACACAGGAGGATTCCTGCAAGTTTGAGGCCAGCCTGGATTTCAGTGTGAGTTCAAGGCCAGCCTGAACTGTACAGTGAAACCCTGCCTCCAAAACGCCAAAAAAAATTAAAATCATCTGACCATATATTTGAGGGCTAATTTCTGAATTCTCAAATGTATACTACTGGTCAGTATATCTTGTCATTATATCAATACCATACCATTTTGAGGACTGCTGCTTTGTAATACTCTTAAGTCAGGAAATGTGAGACCCTCCCTTGATTTAAATCCTTTTTCAGATTGTTTCAGATGTTCAAGGTCCTCTTTTGGGATTTCATATGAAATTTAATACATTTTTTTCCTGATAATAATATCAATGTGATTTTCTCAGGGTGCAATGAATGTACACATTGCTTTGGTAGTACTGACATTCTATAATATTAAGTCTTACAATTCAAGAATACAAGATGTCTATTTGTTTCTTGTTTTTTTATAGCTTTAGTACACACATCTTTACCTGCTTAGTTGTTTATTCATAAGAATTTTATTCTTTTTTGATACTATTATAAATTAGGTTTTCTTATTTTTCATATTTTAAATTTATTTCTTAATTTTTTTCTTAATTTCCTTTATAGATTGTTTATCTTGTGTATAGAAACACAACAAGTTTTTATAGGTTGAGTTTTGTATCCTTCAATTTTCCTAATTTAATTTACTAGTCCTCATGGCCTTTTACTAGAGTCTTTAGGAGGTTCTGCATATAAGTTCATGTCATCTGTGGAGATAAATAATTTTAATTTTTTTTTCTACCAGGAATTGAACTCAGGAACTCACTCTTGCCAGGAAGATGCTATGACACTGAGCTATATCTCCAGCCCAATTTAGCTTCTTTTTAATTGGGTTCTTTTTATTTCATTTTCCTTATCCACCTTCTCCATTCCTCTGGCTAGAATTTCTAGTAGTACGTTAAATAAAAGCAGAAAAAGCATTTTTGTATTGTTCTAAGTCTCAGAGAAAAAGTTTCAAAATTTACCTTCAGTATGACATTGCCTATGAAATTTTTGTAACATAGGTTACATTTAGGTAGCTTCTTTTTATTTCTGATTTGATGAATGCATTAATCATAAAGGATTATTCAATTTTTTTTCTCATTGTTGAAATAATTATGTGTGTTTCCTCCTTCATTCTGTTAATGAGGTATACAGACTGAGTATCCTTAATTCAAAAGTCCAAAATCTGAAGTGCAGTTTTAGAGTACAGTTCTGAGGTATAGTTTTCGTCTAGCTTGTGTAAATTCTCAATTTGAGTTCCAGCACTACAAAAAAACTTCCATCAAATTTGAAACTTTTTGAGTACCAATATGATGCTTCAAGTGGAAAATTCCAGATTTGTCCTCAGTCAATATTCACCTTCACTAAAAAGAGTTGTATAAAATTACCTTCAAGCTGTGACTATAAGGTAAAATGAATTTTGTGTTTATTTAGACTTAGGTCCACTTTTTTTCATTTGTGTATTTGGTATAGGGTTTCAATACACAAATCAGACTCATGGTGATCCTCCTGTTCTCAGCCTCCCCAGTGCTGGGATTACAGGCATGTGCCACCATGCCTAGATTTGCTCATCAGATCAGCTTGCCTCAGAGGCAGGGCCGGTGTGGCATGTGGGGCCCGGGGACTTGAGCTCTCTGGTCCCTGCACTTGCCAAAGCAGGCACTTTGTTCACTGAGCTATCTCTCCAGCCCTAGGTCTGATCTTTAAGCTATCTCGATAAACACATACAAGTATTCCTAAATTCAAAACAAAATAAAATATGAAACATTGATGTACCCAAGTATTTCAGGTAAGAGACACTCAACATGTATTTCATTGATTTTTATTTGTTGAACCATCCTTGTATTCCAGGTATAAATATTACTTAGTCACAGTATATAATCTTTTTTTATGATTATTGATCCATGTTACAGTTTATTTTAAATAGGTGATTAATATTTTAGTATATAAATATAACAATATACCTATTCATTCAACTGTCAGTGAATATTAGGGTTGATTCCAGTTATCATTAAGAGTAATACTGCCGGAGAGCTGGGGAGATGGCTCAGTGGAATAAGCGCTTCCCAGCAAGCGCAAGGACCTGAGTTCAATCCCCGGTTCTGCAAAAACAAAAAAACAAACAAAAAAAAGGAGTAATACTGCCGGGGCCAGTGAGATAGCTCAGCAGACTAAAGTGCCTGCTTAGGCAAGTGTAGGCAAGAGCAGGGACTGTGGTTCGATCCCCTGCACCACATACCGCTCCAGCCCAGCCCCCAGGATGGGCTAAACCGGCCATAGTCTGGGTATAGTGGCACAAGCGTGTAAGCCTTGTGCTGGTGAGGCTGAAAATAGGAGGATCACTGTGAGTCTGATCTGCACAGTGAGACCCTGTAACAACCAAATACATTAAAAAAAAGATTGTAATTGAAAAAAAGAGTAATACCACAGCATATAATGTTTTTAATGTGCTGTTTAATTCTCTTTGTCATTGTTTTGCTAGTGATGTTTTATCAGTGGTCTTCAGGGATACTGTACTTGTCTACAGTTTTCTTTCCTAATAATGTCTTTGGCTTTGGTATCAGGATAACACTAGTCGTATAGAATGTGTATTAAAATGAGTACAGTATTACCTCCTCTTCAACTTTTTGGAATACAGATGTATTGGTGTTAACTCTTTTTAAATGTTGGTTAGAAATCACCAGAGAAGCTATGACAGTAAATTTGACAGAAATCAATTTGAGTGGGTCACAGAGTGTCCAAATATTTAGCTAAATAATATTTGTGTCTATAAGGGTGTTTTAAGATAAGATTAGCCTTTGTTTTTTTCTTTTATCTTATTTAAGAATGGTGTATTGTTTTTATTTTTTAATTTTATTGAGAAACAAATAGCAATGAGACAGTTTCAAAACTGATTAGTAGGACATTTTAAATAATTAATACATTGCATATTGTTGTCTTTGTAGTGGTTATTCATAGTACAAGAGACAGAGATGATATCCTGTCCAAACACTATTAGTACAAATCTTTCTTCTCATTGAACTGAGAGAAAGCTGTACATCTATCCTATTTTGTATATACAGATACAAAATTGTCCTTCATTTTGGTGGACTCGATAAAAGAGATTGTCCTCTTCACTGTGTGTGGTATCTGTTATGGTCTGTGTTTAGTTGTCCTCCTAAAACCTCCGGTAAGTTATGGGATAGACATGGATGGAGGTGCAAAGAGTGGTTTGAGGGGCAGGTCCAGAGCCAGGGTGGGGCCAAAGGGGCGGGGCCAGAGAGGTACAAACCTTTCAACTAGCTACCCTGTGCTTTCTCACAGATGTGGAAAGGGTCATCCTGCCCAGCCTCTCTTCCAGTATCTTGAAACCTCCAGTAACTGTGAGCTAAATAAATCTTTCCTTCCCTCATTTTGAGTGTCAGGTATTTGTCCCAGCAATGACAGAAAACTAATTAACACAGTAGCCAATCCTTTTAGAGAATAAATATAAGGCAAAAGCAAAGAGAATTAACCTTTCTGCCTGACTCCTTGAACTGACACATTGATCTGCTGGCTTCAGATTAAGATTTATATCATAGGCTCCCCTGCGTTTCAGGCACTTGGACCTAGACTGAATGAACTATACCACCAGCTTTCCTGAATCTCCAGCTTGCAAATGGCAGGACATGGGACTTCTCAAACTTTATAACCATACGAGCTGATATACTTCATTAGAGATCTTAGATTTTTTTTAATATTGTTTCTCTTTCTGTTCATCTGTCTGTCTTTTTTTCAGTGCTCAATCTTCTATTGGAGACTTCTCCTCCCTGGGGGGCAAACGTCCCTCTTGGTCCAGCCTCCTGGATGTCATTCCTGGGTGTGGTGTGGGGTGTTGTGCTCTGTTCTCTAAAAGATGATGGCATGGGGAAGGGTCTGCTGCCCTAGCTCTGAGCAGGGCAGTGGTGAGCACATGTTTATGTGGGGATGTGCATAGAGCGGTGTGCACAACACTAGGGTATGGGGGGCCCTACCTCCCGGGGCCAGTGGTCACGCCAGGAGTGGGTAGGCCATGATCAATGCCTGGGCTCTCTTGAAGGACCTTCTCCTGCATTTCTTGGTCCTGTCCTCTTGCTCCTCTCCCCAGACAATGGTCCTTTGCTGCAAGACTCAAAGACACCCTTGGGTCTGTGTCATGGTGGAGCACCTGCCTCATGCTGCCTGTTACCCCTGCCTGGTCCTGTGCTTTCTGTGGCCCATTTCCTCCCCTGGAGCCTACAGGGAGGATGACAGTCTTAGGGACATGGAGCTGATCAAGATGAGTGCATGGGGAGCAACGATGGGGTGGAGCCAGGCACTGGGAGCTGGGAAGCCTAGTCCTCTTCATCCTTGGTGCCATGTTTGGGGATGCAGGCGAACTCCACATAGCTGAAGTTGCCTTTCTTGTCAATGGGTGCCTCCTGGCACATCTCGTCCACTTCCTCATCTGTGAATTGGTCACCCATGGTGGTGAGCAGCTCTTGTAGGTGGTCCTCATGGATAAAGCTTGACGCCTCCTCATGGAAGCAGGTGAAGGCGTTATGGTTCATGTTCTTGGGGTCTGTGCCATTCAGCTTTGCCCCAGACATGGTGAGGAACATGGTGAAGTTGATGGACCCTGGGACTTCATGCATCATGCCCTCCAGGTATTCATCCATGAATACCTGGCCTCTCCAGTGAGGCCAGCATGTCATGTCATGCAGTTCCTCCTTGTCAATGAAGCCATCTCTGTTCTGGTCAATCATATTGAATACCTCCTTAAACTCCTGGATCTGGGACTGGTCAAACACTGTGACACTGGATATAGCCCACTGGGGCCACTTCTTGGTGGTCTTGGTCTTGGCCTTGGCTCGCTTGCTAGACATCTTGGTTTCAGGCGGGTGGGGCTCTAGCTGTGCATACAGATGTTGGAGCTAGCAACTGTTTGCTGGGGCTCAGGTTCTGCCTGGTTCTACTTCTCTAGAGGACCTAATACAAAAGGCATCAGGGCTTTACTTTCTTGGTAGGTTTTTGATTACTGATTCAAACTTCCTACTAGATAGAGATCTACATGAATGCTCTATTTTGTCACAAAAGGTGAAATATTTTTTTCTTTTATCCTGAGACAGTGTCCCATTATATAGTTTAGGCTTGTCTTGAACTGTCTGTATAACACAGGATAGCATTAACTCTCAGAAATCCTCCTGCCTACACCATGCGGGTGCTGGGATTACAGGTGTATGCTACTATGCCCAGCTGAAAGTGGAACTCTTGACAAGTTTTGTGTTTCTAGGAATTAAACCACTTTACATAACTTTTAAGTTGTTATAGTACAACTTGTGTGTGTGTGTGTGTGTGTGTGTGTGTGTGTGTGTGTGTGTGTCTTTTTTGAGACAGGGTTTCACTACAAAGTTCAGGATGGCTTTGGAGCTAGCGACTGTTTGCTGGGGCTCAGGTTCTACCTGGTTCTACTTCTTTTGTAGCCCAGGCTGACTTCAAACTCCCATTGATCCTTCTGCCTCAGCTTCCTGAGTGCTGGAATTACAGACATGCACCACCAAAAGTACAACTCTGATTAGATACTGATTCTACTATCCTTCTTTTCATTTCTAGTTATTTGAGTACTCCGAAAGCTAATGACCTATCAAGTTTGTTGATCTTTTTAAAGAGCTCAGTTTTATTTTCTATTCTCCATTTTTTGTCTTTAATCTTTGCAATGTCCTTCTGCTAGATCTGTGTTTGTTTTTCCTTTTCTAGTTCTTTAGTGTATAAAGTTAAGGCTGTTAATTTGAGATCTCTCTCCTTTTTAAATAAGCATTTGTAACTATACATTTACCTTAGAGTACTGCTTTACTATCACTCACAGATTTCAGTACATTGGGCTTGCATTTTTATTTGCTTCAAGTTACTTTTAATATCTCTTGTTATTTCTTCTTTGACCCAGGGGGCCTGTGCCTAGCTCAGCTGTTTAAGTGTCTGCTCATGCAAAGGCAGTCAGGAGCAGGATGCCGTGGTTCCATCCCCAGCTCCACCTGCCTTACCAGACCTGCCCTTCAGACAGCCTGAACCACCAAAAAAAAAAAAAAAATACTTTTAGGGGGCCTGCCCATTAGCTCAGTTGTTTAAGTGCCTGCTTAAGCAAAGGCAGTTATGTACAAGATACTGTGGTTCGATCCCCAGATGCTCATGCTTTACCAGAACTGCCTTTAAGGCATCTTGAGCCTGCCCCTCCCCCCAAAAAAATCCTTCTTCTTTGACCCATTGTGTATTTTAGAATGTTTAATTTTTTTTTTTTTTTTTTTTTCCGATTTTTTTTGCGGTACTGGGGATTGAACTCAGGACCTTGCGCTTGCCAGGCAAGTGCTTATTCTACTGAGCTATCTCCCCAGCCCTGTTTTAATATTTATATATCCATAAATTTTCCTATTTTTCTTCTATTGATTTTTAATATTACTCAGTTGTGATAATAGAAAATATTGTGTATGAGTTGAACCTTTATAGATTTAAAATTCCACTTTTACCACCTTGGGTGGTACTTGGGTCTGTTTCTAGAACTCCACTGGTCTGCTTATTTCTTGACTACTACCACACAACTTTAATTACAGTGACTTCATAGCATTTTGAAAGAAGTGAAAGGGTTAGCTCTGCCTCATTGCTTTTTTCAACTAGTTTTTCTCCACTTTTTTCATGTTTATTTTTCTATAGAAGTTTTAGTACCAACTTATATATCTACATTAAAGTTTATGGCTATTTTTATCAGGATCAGGTTAAATTTATAAGTTATTGTAACTGTACGAGGTAACAGTTGTCTCATCCAAGAACAAAGATTTCTTTAATTTGTTATAGTCTTCTTTGGTGTCTTTTAGAACATTCTTGCCTCTTAATAAAGAAGCAATTGATTTTTAATTGCAGAACTTTACATCTAGCTTGTTAGAGACCCCCTAACATGCTTCATTCTCAGAGATTGGGGATTTAAAGACTACATAAAACCAAAACCATATGGCTGAAGAGTTCCAGTATTTTTCACTGAGGGAGTCTTTTTTTCTTCCCCCCTCAAAGAAAGCTTGGGTTAATTTACTTAATCAACAAATATTATTGAGAAAATATTACACTTGTGGCAAGTGACTCCCTTGGCGCTGGAGTTTCACAAGTGAAAAATACCAATGTGGGAGCCAGCGAGATAGCTTAGGGGACTGAAACACCTGCTTAGGCAAGCTTAGGCAAATGCGCAGGGATTGCAGTTCTAT